TACCGTCCAAATAACAGTACAAATATACAGCGATATTGTACAGTTATTCGTACAGTTGAAAACCTGTTTGCCGTACAGGTCGGCGCGGGCACGCAAAACTGTCACACTCTACCTCTTTCACTGACAAATTTATTGACTACAGCAGTTGGACAATAAATCTCTTATTAGATGTTTTTGGTGTCTAGTATCGCCTTATATTTTTACTCGTTGTTTGTATTTTGACTCGCCCTCGTCAAAATACGGCACAACTCGTAAAAATATACAGCGACACTACACACCAAAACATCTAATAAGATATATATATCACAAACCAGAAAATGGTGACAAGTAAAGCCTTCTTTTTTCTTTCTTGATGTGAAGATAGCGATCAACTCGTTGGCCTTGAATACTTCGCTCTGCTATGTTTCTTTCTTTGCTACAATGATGGTGGACAATATAAAGGATTTTACACGGGTTCTTTATATCAAATTGCACATACTTCTTGAAGTAAAAAATCAACACCTGTTCAATGCCTCTAATGTTCGGCCGGTAGTCAATGCTATCTAATAGTTGAGAGGGAAGTGGCACAAGAAGCCTGAACAGAAATGCATCGTGGGAACCACGGTACCCTGCCGTCGGTCCACAGAAATCTTTGGCNTACGGCACAACTCGTAAAAATATACAGCGACACTACACACCAAAACATCTAATAAGATATATATATTACAAACCAGAAAATGGTGACAAGTAAAGCTCTCTTTTTTCTTTCTTGATGTGAAGATAGTGATCAATTCGTTGGCTTTGAATATTTCGTTCTGCTATGTTTCTTTCATTGCTACAATGATGGTGGACAATATAAAGGATTTTACAGGGGTTCTTTATATCAAATTGTACATACTTTTTGAAGTGAAAAATCAACACCTGTTCAATGCCTCAAATGTTCGGCCGGTAGTCAATGCTATCTAATAGTTGAGAGGGTAGTGGCACAAGAAGCCTGAACAGAAATGCATCGTGGGAACCCATGTAGTGTGATCTCGGTCCACAGAAATCTTTGGCGTTGCAAAGACGTACGTTTTCGGAAATTTCATGCCTGGTCAATGCGTACATTGTTTTCCTGTTCAAAATGCTTTCGTTTAGTTGCTCAAACCCTTTATCCACATAAYAGTCTGCGTTCATTATCATTACATTTCTACGTAGCAAGTTATTCGAAGCGTACTGGAACGCGTCTTTGTAGCGCATGCGTCGACCAAGAAAATGAAAATTTAATTTCCAGTCCTGAGGCAAATTCAGGGCGTTGATGTCATCACGATCCGTGTCGCTTTCACAGAAAGTATGGATTTTTTCAACCTGGAAAAAATCAAGGAAAGTTAAGGTGCATAAGTCACGCGCGGATGTTCTCTGTATAAGCATATATAGCTTTAGGAACAAAACCCATTCACACCAAGGGTTGGAATGTCTGCTGTGATTTCTAATTTCAACACCACAGGTCACCCAGCAAGTCATCAGACTCTCCCAAACAAGAGGCCGTATTCGTGTTCTCGGTTTTGGACTGAAACTAGCTTGCAACTGAGGCTAACGCGGAGTAGTATGTGAAAATGCAAATGACATAAAGAAGGAATCCGCCAGAAGTACGAGTAACAAGTGGCAAAACCTTGTACCGAGATTATTTACATCGTATTTGTAAACTTCTGTGCGACCGTTTTTAATATCTTCTCAAAAATAAATTAATCATTCTAACAACACCAAATGTCGAAAACAACGTTTGAAGTTCATATGAAACACTTGAAAGTTCTGAAACTTGACTGAAATGAAACTGATGATAAAATTTTACCTGTGTTTGCACAATTTCTCGGAACTTTATTCCCGAGTTCTCATGGGAAATTGGTTTTGGTGCTATTTCAGGCAACTATTTATATCTTTAGCTTTTTTAAAAGATGAAAAAAGAACTGTAATATACTTGAAATTATTCTGGTACCAGGTTTTT